CCAGGAGCCCCTAGTAGCTTCTTGTTACTACTAGTAAGGCACTTGTTACTAGAAGCGATGCACTTGTTCCTAGTAGCGTCCGATCGCTCCTAGTAAGGCCAGGAGCTACTTTTAGTCGCAAATCCTTTTGTCGCAAACGCGAGCGGCCTCTCTGGGCCCCAGCTCACTCGCCCGCCATGGCGAGTGCCAAGTTGCACGGTGAGGCCCATCTCGCGTCCGGTATGAGCGAACGTACCGGTTGAATGTAGTAGTTTCTTGTTGCTAGTAACAAGTGCCTCCCTAGTAGTAACAAGTGCCTTACTAGTAGCAACAAAAAGCTATTAGAATTAAGTTAAAGTTAATAGTTTCTTGTTACTACTAGTAAGGCACTTGTTACTACTAGCGATGCACTTGTTCCTAGTAGCTTATTGTTTCTATTTAATTCTTGTTTCGTTCGTAGCTTCTTGCTACAGTAGCGACGCCAGGAGCCCCTAGTAGCGTCCTAGCTCCTAGTAGTACGGCCAGGAGCCCCTAGTAGCTTCTTGTTCCTAATAGGTGCATTTCTGCAGGCAAAACTATACCTCCTTTCAGGAACACTTCGGGGGCTTGACTCATGACTATCATTCTCTCAGTGATTTGGAAAATGTGCGAACAACTTGAGCACTTTGCCATTTGGAACGAGTGGTGGTGCTCCGCATGGCCTTTTTGCTAGCCGGACAGGGAAACCCTTTTGTGACTGTGTGTTCATTGCCCACGTTTTGTTGAACTCTTCCGCTCGGGAGTGGCAAGAAACTTGGAATTGAAGCATTCTGGAAGATCTTGTCTAATTCTAATTGTTACTAGTTGTAAGGCACTTGTTTCTAATAGCGATGCACTTGTTACTACTAGTAAGGCACCTGTTACTACTAGCGTGGCACTTGTTGTTCGAAATCACATTTACAACAACCACTCCTAGTCGCGTCCAAAAGCTGATTCACTCACACCCCGGTCCTCACCCATCATCGCAGTCACCTACCCCATCACGAAAAACAGAACAGCTTGTGTGCTGGAAAGAGTTTGAGTTTGAGCTTGCTCGTTCTTTTTTTACGAGCTCACGTGTTATGAAAAGTGTTCTTGCTGTGTTTTGTCTGTCTTTTTAGCCCGTAGGCGCCTACTTAATGAAGTAAGGGAGAGGTAGCTAGTAGCTGATGCAGGATAGCTCACGCTTCTTCAAAGAAGCTCCCCCCGCCGCCTTAACTTGAAGAAGCGCTCGCACTATTCATTTGGTTCCAAGTAGCGATGCCCTTTGTTCCTAGTAGCTTCTTGTTCCTAGTAGTATGGCCAGGAGCCCCTAGTAGTAGCTTCTAGCTACTAGTAGCTTGATAAATATCAATTTGAGAAGGACGATTCCTTCATCCGCAGGCCATGTTGGTGAAGCTCGAGCGAGATGTTCTCCAGACGCGGCGCGAAGTGACGAAACGAAGTGACGTGAGAAGGACATCTGTTTAAAGGATCATGAAAAAGGGGCCAAAGCCGCCAAGGGAAAGGAGTCAAAGGAAGAAAAGAGAGGAAGCCATGGCCTCCAACTAGCGTCCTTGCTACTAATGGCTTCTTGTTACTAGTAGTAAGGCCAGGAGCCCCTAGTAGCGTCCTTGCTCCTAGTAACGATGCCCTTTGCTCCTAGTAACGATGCCCTTTG